CAGCAATTGATTGTCGCCGTAATTGACAGCCGATTATGGCTTTGGTTGAGGCGATTAATTGTCGACCGGTTTTCGCGTAATAACAGAATTCAAACCATAAATACTATTCCAATGGAATTCAATCATTGAATTCATTAACATAACACATTTTAACCACAATTCATTTATAAAGAATATGAATTATAGAATTGTTCGCCTTCTCCTCTAAAAATTTTATTTATTGAAATTATCTTAATTTTTTTTAACATATATTGGATATTTTTGTTGTTCAATTAAAATTTAGTAATTTGTGTCACTATTAACAAAAATAGTAAATTGATAATTATATAATGTATAATTCCTATACTGTGTGCACATGGTTGTAAACCTAGAACTGGTTAGAACCTAATGTTTATTACAGTTATTTGTATCACAATTTGATAATCATGTATTTTCAATAAAAATAATATTGATTGTACAAAAACATGTTCCAATTGTATTATTTTTCACACTCGTTTCTATAATTAAAATGATGGCAACCAAAATAGTTTTATTAAAAACATTTTAGATTTAACAATAAAATAGTATGATATTAGGTATCTAACCAGTCAACAAAATCTGTCGTCGCGGTTTTTGAGATTACAGCTAAACTAGAAGAGCTAGATCAAATCTGTAAAAAGTAAAATGAAGGCCCACATGTCTAGTTTTTTGTATCAAAAAATATCTGAAATCACGTGACCACAACACAGAAAATTTTGGGTCAAATCGATTTGCCACGTTTTTTGCCCACCTCGAGGGGGGCTAGGAGGGGCGCGGGTATGTTAATCTTTAGAAGAGATGTCAAAGACTATGATAGCAAAGTTTCATAAAATTCAAATGAATATTCTTTCGTAGCGAACAAAAAATTCAAGAAATTTGACCCAATATTTGGACAAAAAATAGCCCAATTTGGACCATTTTACACTACATTTTCGATGTTATAAAAAGTCAACTTCAGAACCATTTTTCCCCATAGACCTAATGTTAATAAAATTAACAATTTCTCGTAGATGGCTGAATGGATTTGAACATAATTTTGCTATCATAGTCTTTGACATCTCCTCTAAAGATTAACATACCCGCGCCCCTCCTAGCCCCCCTCGAGGTGGGCAAAAAACATGGCAAATCGATTTGACCCAAAATTTTCTGTGTTGTGGTCACGTGATTTCAATTATTTTTTGACACAAAAAAACTAGACATGTGGACCTTCATTTTACTTTGTACAGATTTGATCAAGCTCTTATAGTTTAGCTGTAATCTCAAAAACCGCGACGACAGGTTTTATTGACTGGGTAAATATCAACACTTATCGAACAAATATGTCCATGTCACTTTTTATTCCACTTTTTTAAAAACACTTTTTAGCCCAAGTTTTTCAAAATTTGTTAAAAACTTTACAACATAACTTTATCAACATTTAATTTCAGATAATTATTTAATAATAATAATAATAATAAACAGGCTGACAATTGTAATGAAAAATATATTTATTCATATTATTAATTTATTTAATAATCAATTTAATTAATTGAACAAATATGGTAGTAATATAATAATTGAATTTAATGGCAACACATAATACGTGAAATGAAAATTGCAGTCACATGTAATTTATTTGTTTATTATTTAATTCTAAGTAAGTTTAAATACATAATATCAATCATATTGTAAAGTTGAGTTAATTGTTATTATCACCATTATTTCAGCAATCACACTTAACCATATCAAAACATATACACCATCATCAGGCACTTTACTCAAACGTAAACTAAATTCATCAAATTACCACCAATACAATGATGACCATGGTGATTACGAGCAATCAAATAGTGTCAAAAATTATGTGCCCTCGTTTAATTTTGGTGACATGTATGTGAGTACGGCTGAGTCGGAGTCCATATCTGTGCCCGACTGCGGACTCGCGAGGGAACAGTTCATTGTGAACGGCAAGAGAGCGGCCGACGGGTCTCAGCCATGGATGGCCGCCGTTTACACTGACCGACATATCGGGTCTGCTATCATAATAAACCAATCGTGGTGTATAACAGCCGGCCATGTGTTTAGGTTATTATGATCATTAATCATCAATAATTTGATTTATCAACATAACGTTCTTATCTATTATACCTAGATATACGTATATACTTAAATACATATTCTATAACAGTAAATGATTATGTCTCAGATATTATTGTTATTTAACTGTGACAAGATAAATTTAAATCATTTACATTTAAAATATTTGCGTTTACTTAATTACTATTTATTAAATTGTTACAAAATTATATTATTTAAATGTTATATTTTAATTTTTGTATATTTATTGTGGTCGCAGAGATTCAAAAGACCCAGCACATTATACCATCAAAGTGGGCAGCAATAATCGCCAAAACGGTATTTCATACAACATGGCCAAAATAATTATATACGACAGGTATAACATGTTCAGTAATGAAGACTCGGACATTGCCATGTTCAAACTGTCGACACCCATTAAACTGAACCCGGTCACTCAGCCCATATGCCTGCCCTCCAGCCCCTTCGAGGAGCCCCTTAACGAGAGTATAACAGTTGTCGGTTGGGGTCAACACGATTTCAATATTTTAATCACCATGGTCGATTTGGAAGTGGTTAAGCTAACTTTGTATCCCATTGAAAAGTGTGCAGAAAAAATGAGAAGTATTGGCAGAAAGATATATAGATCGCAAATCTGTACTTTCGATATGAATAAGGATGCCTGCTCTGTAAGTTTAATATACTGTACATGATGGAAAATTTTAAATAACTATATTGAATTTACATAAATAATCAGGGAGATTCTGGTGGTCCGGCAATTCAGTACTTGAAAGGTAAATTGATTTTATTATAGTATCTAATTTAATTTGACTGTACATTATTTTTATAAACATGGTAATTATTTTTTAGGCAGAGCAACGCTTGTTGGCATTGTGTCGTATGGTATTAGTTGCGCTGGTTAGTATATATTTTTAAAGTGCGCATGGTTAATTATAATATTTTAATTCATTTTCAATACTTCTTAGATAATATAAATCCGGGCGTTTATACAAAAGTATCATATTTTACTAATTGGATACAAAGTGTACTAAAAACACAATAAACACATACATAATGAAATTTTACATTTAATAGCTAACAAGTAATGAACACTTATTTGAATCATTTGTTATTAAATATGGTATAATGTTTATAGTTAGTAATTTTATCGCAATTCAACGCCAATTTTTCTATCATCAGTGTTTAAAATAAAATCAAATTTTTTGAATGTCGGCGGATGTCGTGTATTAACCGTACGTATGAAACGGTATTTGCAGATGAGATGCGCGACAGCAGTCTTGGCCTCCATTAACGCAAACCTCATTCCCACACAATTTCGTGGACCCAAACCGAACGGCATATAAGTATAGGGCACTAAATGATCACGATTTTCGGGTAAAAACCTCTCGGGATTCCAATCCTCGGGATTCGGGTAATACTCGGACTCGTGATGCAAAGAATGGACGTCATAATTAACTCCCATACCTTTTGGTATTGTTAGTCCGGTATTGTCTGTAATAAAAATATTTAGTAAACAACCATGGACAAAGCTGCATTAGTTATTAAAAATTACCATGTTTGTATTCTTCTGTACATATCCTACCGATGGCCGGAAGCGGCGGATAATGTCTGAGCGTCTCCGCAATACAGGCCTCCAAATACGGCATTCGAGCGATTGATTCGTAGCTATAGTTGCCGTCGAAGGCATTGATCTCTTCGTACAGTCTTTGCTGACACTTCTCATTGATAGCCAATTCGTACGTCAAAAACGACAATAAACTGGCGGTCGTTTCATATCCGGCCACAAGAAACAGGAAACTTGAGGCCAACATATCGTCGTCACTGATCACTACATTTCCCAACTTTTGGTCTTTTAAAGCATCGGTTTTGCCGAAGATGTGTTCGTTGAGGTCATCGATGTCCTGATCTTCACTATTGTCTGCACTCCTATTCTGGGCGTTAATCATAAGCTGCAGATAATCCTTGTATTGACCAGACTTAGGGTCAGCTCTACGTCTGGCAATCATCGACGATATCTAATATAAATTATATGACATTTGTTTAAAATAATTAATTAATAATGACAAAGAATGACAAAATTTAAAAATATTATGATTGCAACAATAATATATCTAAATAAATAATAAACATTAACTTTAAGACACTTACAGCTGACTTGAAAAATTTTTGCACAGACGAACTCATCATGGATAGTTTCATTTTCTCAACTAGTTTAGGGAATAATGTCATTAATGGGAATATCAACCAAATTCGCCAGTTTCCCTGGAAAATAGCCTGGGTGTTTGTGATAAACTCGTGGGTTTTGTGGTCGTTATGAGTGTCTATTTGAGTGCCAAAAGCACACGAAGCGATCACATCCATAGTTAGGTTACCCATCGCTCGCTTCACATCCAATTCATCCCCATTTATAGCCTTTGTCTCCAAGTATTGGTCCAATCGATGGACACAATCGATGATCAGTGGATGCATTGCTCGCATCTTTCCCGATGAAAATTCTAGCCCCCCTCGAGGTGGGCAAAAAACATGGCAAATCGATTTGACCCAAAATTTTCTGTGTTGTGGTCACGTGATTTCAATAATTTTTTGATTCAAAAAACTAGACATGTGGACCTTCATTTTACTTTTTACAAATTTAATCTAGCTCTTCTAGTTTGGCTGTAATTACAAAAACCGCGCGGACAGATTCCGTTGACTGGGTAAATAATAATGTTTATCATTTTTAATTAATTATATCGTATAAATAAATATAATTATTATGGCAATATTCCTTAAATATGAATAAAAACAGTTTATATTTATCACAATTTATTTAAATAGTACTTAAATCATTCTTAATAAACATTTGTGGTAATATTTAATTTATTTAAATGTCAATGTATATAATTTTTAATATACTGTATTAGTATTTATTGTTTAGTTTATAATAATTTACAATGTAGCAATCTATAATGGTTATTTTTAATAAAATGCTTATTGTTACAAACAATATGTTGTTTTGGTTGTTTCAAAATAGATTACGTTTTGGGCTGACATTGCCTGGGCTTGTAATATATTGATAATTATCTTATAATTAACAAGTTTAAATAAATATTTAGGCAAATTCCTTTAGAATAAAAACCTTAAAAATTGTTTCAAAAAAGATATTAAATTTCCATAAAATGATTTTAATTTCAATATCGTATTAAATGCTTATTGTATTTCATTCAGAATATTAATCTATTATAATTGTAATTATTAATTATATTTATGCTGTAAAACAATCGCTAATTAAAATTAATTAATTACTTTAAACATGTTATTTGCTATAAAATTAATGTTACTTCTTATAACAATCAGTAAGTATTAAATGAAATATTTACAGAAATAACACAATAATTAAAAATATATAAAAATCCAATTGAAGTGATGGTAATAGGAGTAAGTGATGGCATTCACGCAGCCATCAAACACTACCCTAACGTCACGGATAGTGACTGCGGTGTGGGTCGAGAGTCGTCACTAATGGACAACCAGTGTTTCAAATACCATAAAACTCATGTCTCAAGTCCTATAAGGAACGGAAGGACCGCCACCGCCGGGGAAATGCCTTTTATTGTGATGTTATTTATACAAAAGACTCCAGTTATCACTAATAAAACGTAAATATTATTTATATACTATATTTATATGAACTCACTGTTACTTTTATTATTTATTAAAAAAAACATTAAGCTAAATTATGTAATATAAAGTGTATTAAATTATAAAAGTAATATTCTTGGTGTTTTAATTTTTATAGTGATATAGCAACATGTTCTGGATCGATTATCAACAAATCGTGGATTCTAACCGCTGCTCATTGTATTGAGTAAGTAGAGAGAGAGAGAGAGAGAGAGAGAGCATAATCACCTTACAATATGCTGTGCGATTAGGTTTTGAACTCGATATACCATATATAAAATAAGTAGAATTAGGCAATGCCTGCGACGCCGGTAATATCTGAACCCAACCCATGGGTCGGCCGTCTAAAGGCTCATCCAGGCCCTTACCGTCTTTGACGCCCCAACCGCTAACCAATCCGTACTCGTACTGCTTGTTGACCACTCCGGGCGCCGGTAGGCATACGGTGTTCACCGCCAGCCGATCGGTAAACTGAATATCGGGTCTTACCCTGAGTAGCCCTATGTCATGAATTTTTGTATTCACCCTTTTAAAGTGTGGGAACGGGTGGACACCGATTGCCACGTACACCGGTGGCCGGCTGTTGGGATTTGTCAAATCATTGAACCCTTTTAGACCCACAAATGCCAGAGTCTTATGCGGACAAATATAGTACTTTATATTGCATCTGTAATTATATACGATCATGTTTTCTATTATATGCCAACAGTAATATAATATTTAAATATAAATAGTGATTAACATAATTATTATTTTTACTAATGCGTCAATCAATTTTGTGTGCACAAAAGATAATAGGGTATTTTTATTTTAGATATTTTAATGCCTATTAATTTGATGCCCGATTGTTCACATTATCTTTTATAAATTAACACATGAATTACTAGAAAGTACTTTATTACTCTCTCTCTCTCTCTCTCTCGTTCTCTCTTTCAACATATAATGAGTTGACTGTTAGGGCGATTCCGGGGGACCATTGGTGCAGTACGTGTCGGGACGGGCGGTAGTGATTGGCGTGATTAAGGCTATTCTACATTATGGAAACTATACGCCGACCACTCGCCCCCTATGCCCCGATCCTAATGGCAACTCTGTCATGACGTGGACCCGTGTATCGGCGTATACCCATTGGATTGAAGCTGTCATCACTAATAATAGCAGTTATCTCAATGGATTAGTTCAGAATCTAACTGGACCATGGTGAATCCACAATTGCCCAATATTATCAGTAATGTATACAACAAATGATACAATTATTTGATTTATTTTATGTATTGATAAAATTATAATTTTATATTGATTGCATTTTACGGAATATAGGTTATTATTAGTAGTAGAATATACTGTATTTTTATACGTTATACACACTTTTATTGTAAGAAATATGATTTTAAAATACATATTGTATATTATCAAATTAATTTTATAAATTGACAAAATTACGATTAAACGCTTATTTATGTTTTACAAAATTACTATTAATATAATTGTATAATTATAAAATTATATTTATACTATCTTAGTATTATTAAACAATATTAATTAATAAAACTGTAAAAATTATTGATTAATGATAAACATCATGTGTTAATAATAATGCCATTTATCTCTTTTCAACGCCAATATGTATGGCTTCGGGGGTTAAGAGGTATTGTTTAAACAAAGTTACGTTTTGGGTTTATATTGAATAGCTTATAATATATAGGTAATTATCTAATAATTAACAAGTTTAAATAAATATTTATGCAAATTCTTTTATAATAAAAGCCTTAAAAAATTGTTTCAAAAAAGATATTAAATTTCCGTAAAATGATTTTAATTTCAATATCGTATTAAATGCTTATTGCTTTTCATTCAGAATATTAATTTATTATAATTGTAATCATTAATTATAATTTTGTTAAAGTAATTGTTAATTAAAATTAATTAATTACTTATAACATGTTATTTATTATAAAATTAAAGTTATTCCTCATAACCATAAGTGGTTAGAGGGATGGCGGGGCTGAAATAAATTAGAAGTGGTTTTTGAATAATTAAACTTATTAATTAGCTAGTATTCACTATAAACGTTACAATAAGTACAGTCGTCAAGTGCCCTACTACAGTCATATGTAGTCAATTGTAAATATTTACAAATAATTTTAATATAAAAGTTTATCAATGTATAATAGGTGTGTTTAAACCTCACTCATTATATTAGTGTACTTTATATATGAATGAATTATGAATAGTGTATAAAGTATAACACATTTGAATAATGCTTTGTTCACTAGCGTGGACAAACCGGTCACTTATGCTCATAACAATCAGTAAGTATTGAATAAAAATTTTCAGAAATAACACTATAATTAAAAATATATGAAAATACAATTAAAGTGATGGGAATAGGAGTAAGTGATGGCATTGAGGCAGTTATCAAACACTACCCTAACGTCACGGATAGTGACTGTGGTGTGGGTCGAAAGTCGGCACTAATGGACAACCAATGTTTCAAATTCCATAAAACTCTGGACTCAAGCCCTATAAGGAACGGAAGAACAGCCATTGCCGGGGAAATGCCATTTGTTGTACTGTTAATGACACAAAAGACTAACGTAACCACTAATAAAACGTAAATATTATTTATATATACTGTATTATATAAGGCCGTTCAAAATTAACCGGTTGTATTTCTTGGTCGATTCCTCTGGAACTGTTGGAGTGATAATATTGAAACTTCACAGATATATAGAACCACGTCGGGCAATTTTTTTTGACATAAAATTTTTTAATGATCACGTGACTATTTAATGAGCAAATGGATGATTTGCGAGACCCTTATTCACAACCTACTGTGTTTGTTGTAGGGAGGGGGTGGGGGTTAGGGTTGCATAGAACTAATGTTAAGGTGTTATAATAACCAAGAACCACCATTATTGGATTGCACGTTTTTACATGGCAAGTGAACAAAGTATGCCAATTTCCCCATGTTAACCTATGGGGACGACAAATAATTTTATATTTCAAT